TGGCGCCGCAGTGTCGCCAAGAGCGTCTGCTTCTCCAGCGCGCACCTCCAGCAGAGCGAACCCGATGCAAGCGAGCTCCTGCAAAGAACGGGGTGTAGGGCGTGCGCCGTCCCTCCTCCGCCCTATCGTCCTCCGCCATCTTCCATCTCCCCACCCCGATCCACCCGACCCCCCCACACCACACCACACCCACGAACCATCTTTCCTCTCCTCCAGCCTCCTCCCTCCCCGCGCTCCTCCCCCTTTCCTCCGCACTCCTCTTCCGGTTCCTCCTCCTCCTCCTCTTCCTCATCATCATCAAATGAATGATCCTCCTCATCATCCTCGTCATCCGTCCATCCTCGCCCCTCCTCCTTGCTGGATCCTCCTGCTCTTCCCTGTGCTCGTCATCATCCTCATTCTCCAGTCTTCTGCCAGCTCCTCCTGTTTCTCCTCCTCGTCCTCATGTTACTCTTCTCCTCCCATCCCTCTTCTCCTCATCCTCCTCCACTTCCTCCGCCTCACGCTATTCTTCTCCTCGTGCTACGTTTCTCCTCCCAGTGTCTGTATCATCCACCTCATCATCCCAGAAAACCTCTGCTAACTCCTCGTCATCCGACCCGCATCCCCTCCTTCTCTTCACAACGACTCCCCCACACATTACTCCTTGAGTTGCCCATTAATGCCATCATCCCCCCTGTCCCCCCTCCGCCCCCTCATCCTCACCCTCGCCAACCTGCTCCTCATCATAACAACACCGGAACCGTCATCGTAACAACCAGCATCCTCATCACCATCGTCACAACCACAATCGACATCACCATCAACGTCATTAAGAGTAGCAGGCACGTCACCACCGCCATCACAACCGCCATCATCGTCATCGACGTCATGGGCAATTGTCAACAGCATCGTCGCCATCGTCGCGCATATCATCGTCATCGTGATACTCATCAGCCCCACAGGGGCACCACCTTTGTGGGCCCCGGAAACGGCAGGGCCGTTTTTTTTCACAATTTCCAACAAAATGTCCCTTGAAAATGGAAACGGCAAAAAAACAGCGACCGGAAACGGCAAACAAACGGCTCCAGGATTTGAACCGAAGCCAGAACCGGTCAAAAAACGGCGACGGAACCGGGGAAAAAACGGCGTCGGAACCGGCAAAAAAACGGCTAAACGGAACCGGAAAAAAAACCGGCCTGTCGTTTCCAGGGCCCACTAAGGGCACCCCCATGAGCGAGGTATCGGGCAACAGCGCCCCCTGGTGCAGCCCCCCGCACTCGCCGCCCCGGGGCGGGATCGGCGGTCCGTCGTCCCCCTGTCCTTCGTTGGCGCCCGTCGCTCCTCGTCGTGTCGTCTCCTTCTCGGCCCCGTTGGGCGTGGCCTAATGGGGGGGTCATAAATGGGGGGGTCAGAAACGGTCCCCTTTCGTGCCCCTTTCGGGCCCCTCTGGAGTCCCAGGGGGCTCGTTTAGGTACCGTTTGGGTACCCTTTCGGACCAACCTCGCCACCCCCCCATTCATGACCCCCGATTGCGCACCGTCCAACCCCGGGGTCCAAGACTCTTTCCGGGTCCCTTGGGCGCGCGGGGGCCCTGCACGCTCTGCACCGGCGCCGCCGGCCTGTCGGCGGTGGACAGACCTCCCTGCAGCAAACCTCCCCTTGGTGAAAACGGAGAGGGACCGAAACCGGCGGGCCTGGGCCCGCAAGAACGACGGCCGCGACGCCCTCTCGCGGACTCAAAACGGCCAAATCCTTGATCGACGCGTCAGGGTAGGAGGTCTTATCAACCTCCGGACCTGCCCCCCTCGTTCTTGGACGCCCGAAATGGGTACGGAAAAGATGGGTACAATGCCCAACAACAAAGGTTGTCCCAAACCAACAGCGGCCGCTGTTGGGCAGGCGGCCTTCTGTCCCAAATGGAGACAGGCCGCGGCGGCGAGGACAGCGAGTCCTGTGTAAAATGAGCAAGAACTGCTGTTGGGCATTGTACCCATTCTTTCCGTACCCATTTCGGGCGTCCAGATATAGTGAGCGTTTTTGTATTGTTTTGCCGATCGGCGCGGGCCCCCCGAACCCCCTCTCCCCCCCCCTGGAGTGGATCGTGGCTGCTTCTGGGGCGACTGTGTCGAGCAGGTGGGGTTTCCCCCACAAGCGAACTGCTGCTGGGCATTGTGCCCATTCTTTCCGTACCCATGTCGGTCGTCCCGATCGTGGGGGGAGGTGCGGAGCCCGGCAGGGCCCTCCGCGCAGCCTCGGGGCCCGGAGCCGCCGCGCAGGGAGCGGGGGGGGCCGCGCGGCGTGGCAGCGGCAAGAGGCGGCGGGCCGAGCCTCCCTCGGCAAAGGGCTGAGACGCAGCCCTGCCACAACACCGTAAGACTCCTCCTCCTCCTCCTCCTCCTCCTCCTGACTCCTGACTCCTGACTCCTGACTCCTGACTCCTGACTCCTGACTCCTGACTCCTGACTCCTGACTCCTGACTCCTGACTCCTCCTCCTCCTCCTCCTCCTCCTCCTCCTCC